TGTGACAAAACAAATGCCATCAAGGAGACAGCACATCCTGTACCAAAAGTCACAAACCCAGGTAAAAAAGTGTCCCCTGCCCTGGAAAGCTTGATAGTCTATTAGACAGATGCAACAGTAGGACAAGAGAAACAGGACGTGAGGAGAGAGCAACAGAGCTGCCAACAGCCAGCCATCAGATAAATGTTTCAATGCTTAAACCACATTGCTGTTTAAAGTTCCATCACAGTAAATGCGGGTCCGGCCAATAGGACTCAATAAAGTCCTGAAAATAATTTATTTCATCCTACATGAGGTCCCTGATCACAAAGACAGCTCTCTAGGCTCTACCGACTGCACAGACCAGCTCTCCACTGACCACGGGGCTGCCTGAAGAACCCCTGTGTAGGCAACTGCAGTGAATCCCTGCTCTTTTCTCCCTCTCCCACAGCAATGGGCAGCCTTGCCTTACCTTCTAATAAAAAGCCTCCCTGACATACTTCTTTTTTTAAACAAGGCTATTCCTTTCCCTCACAGAGGGCAAAGATGCAGTAGCTACAGTAAATCACTGCCTTGCACTGGAGCACTGTTACAGCCAGGCCTTACCTTTACTGATACCAAAGTAAAGAGGAACCAGTGGAAGTTGAAATACTGAATGCTGGCACTATTTCTGAGCGACACACAAGTGCCACCAGCACCAGTTATCAACTGCTGCTGGAGAGGGAGATGTGTGATGGTCACAGCAGCCTGCACAGACTGAATTGGGACATGACGGGACAGAGACACAAAGCTCTGTGAGCCAGGTCTAACTCATATTCCACAGTGAAAGCAAAGCGAGACTGGTTAAAGTCAGAGCTGGAGTCCCCCCCCAGAGAGGCACAGAGAAGGAGACTGGGGCAGGGAACCTGCACCCAGAGCCAGGGACAGCTCCTGCTCAGAACAGCCCTGCTACCCAACAGAGGCTGGCACTGGTGCTGGCCTGATTCTGCAAAAAGAGATGGCACAAATCTAAGCTCTGTATCTGTGCAAAAGTAGGAACAGAATGAAATACGTGGCATAATACAGAAGGATGTAGGAATAAAGAGATGATCACAAAAGGAAAACACTAATTTAAGCTTGAAGTATTCGCGTGATATGATGTAATTGGAAAAGGCTTCCAAGGAGAAAAGAAGAGAAACTGTCATCCCACAAGGATTCAGTCACAGAGAGAAACGCTGGGATGATGAAGAGCCAGACCACGGGGCTGTCAGATGTAGGAAGTCGATCTGAAGCTATTAACATTTTTACCCCGTTAGGCTTCATGTACAGGAGGTAACCAGTGCTCTTACACGAGAGCTTCCCCACCCTTGAGAGTAATAACACACCCAAAGCCCCACATTTGCACACTTGGCACCCCAGATCCCCAGCAGCTGGGTTGGTTTTCACACCAAGGTTATGAGATGGGATTTCCACCCATGAAGTTCATACTCCACATATAAAAGACACATAGTCTAAAAAGCTTTTATCGTATTAGTATCAAGGATGTTCCCCAGTAAACCCAGTATCTCATTATGAGTGACTCGAAGGTGCGAATATGTAGCTGTTTCCCCAGGTCAGATTTAGCTTGAAGTTCACACCATTTCCAAAGGCCCTTTACATATGCAACAACACAGAAACCATAAATTGTTTTCTCTGCTTCTCTCCAGGTTTGGAAACTTTGGGCAATCCTGCCAATAATACACAGGGATAAATATGGACAAAAAGGTTTAAAAAAACCAAACAAAAGCCCTTTTCCACAGCACTAACTGTGACCTCGAGAGAGGGCTGTCCTGGCTGAGGACCTTCTGCTGTTCCAAGCAACAGCCAGGTTTTGGTGCATGTGTTGGCTTGAATTGTGTTCATGGTCCATAGAAAACCACAAACGCCGGCAGCAGCAAAGAGCAGCAGTAGGGGACTCATCCCAGTTTGCCAAGAGAATGCCAGCAATTAGCTATGAATTCTACAAGTTGCATTAGTTAATACCAAAAAGCTGTTTCAAAAAGAAAAACCTCCTTGCTCGAGAGGCATCTCCTACACAGCTTGTTGTCCAGACCCTCTTTGCTTTGTACGGGAACTTAGTTGCCTGATTCACCAACTCAAAAAGAAACAGATCTCTTTCACTGAATTTCACTGAATTTCTAGAGTTGGAAGGGACCATAGAGATCATCTAGTCCAACTCCCCTGCTGAAGCAGGATTGCCCAGAGCTAGAGCATGTTACTCAGGAGCATCCAGGCGGGTCTTGAAAATCTCCAAAGAAGGGGACTCCACACCCTCCCTGGGCAGCCTGTTCCAGGGCTCTGTCACCCTCACCGTGAAGAAGTTTCTCCTCATATTTGAGTGGAGCCTCTTATGTTCCAACTTGTGCCCGTTGCCCCTCGTCCTCTCACTGGGAACCACTGAAAAGAGTCTGGCTCCCTCCTCCTTCAACCCTCCCTTGAGATACTTGTAGGCGTTGATAAGGTCTCCCCTCAGCCTTCTCTTCTCCAGACTAAAGAGTCCCAGCTCTCTCAGTCTCTCCTCATAAGGGAGATGCTCCAATCCTTGAATCATCTTTGTAGCCCTACGCTGGACTCTTTCCAGTAGTTCCCTGTCCCTCTTGAACGGGGGAGCCCAGAACTGGACACAGTACTCCAGTTGTGGCCTC